TTAAACAACACTGATATTTATTTATTTATTTATCCTATAATATTAAGTTTAGGTATTTTTTTTTGAAGAGAGAGAGAGAGAGAGAGAATACTGTAATAAAAAAAATGTGTTTTTTATTTTTAGCCCCAAAAAAATAGCGGTATTTTTTTAATAGGTTTTCCGCACATAAAATACAGTTTAATGGATGGTCTGAGATATATATATATATATATATATATATATATATATATATATATATATATATATATATATATAGAGAGAGAGAGAGAGAGAGAGAGAGAGAGAGAGAGACTACTTATAAATAATTGCTAAATATTTAAATCACGATTTAGTCGATGTGTTAGTCGATTCATACATAATAATAATAATAATAATACTATAATATTAATACTAATATATATAAGTTTTAAACAAATTATTTTAGTTTTCAAAAAAAAAATATATTATATTTTCTAAAATTAACATTTTTTTCAACAAAAAAAATTAAATATATTTATAAATAATTTATGCATTTTTTTCTATTGCTATTTAATACAAAAAAAATGTTTAAAAATTGTTTTTTTTGTTGCTTTAAATATATATCTAAATTGAATACAAAAAAAAACATTATTTTTTTTTAAATAATTATATTATATAGGCTTAAAAACATCTTTAATTTATTATGAAAAAAAATTATTATTATTTTTTGTTGTTAATATGTGTGTTAAATATTAATTATTTTTTTTTAAAAATATATTATTTATAATACAATACACTAGATATTTATATATATTAATATATTAAAAAAATATCGTTACTTATATATAAACTATTAATTATCAAATGTTAAGTATTTTATTTTAAGCTATTTTTTCCTAATAAAAAACTAAATTTTTTATAAAAAAAATCATTAAATATTTATATTCAAGTCCTATATATATATATATATAGTATATATTATTTTATCATATCATAAGTATAGTTATTTTTGTGGTATATCTATACTAACAATATATGTTAATAATTAAATGTTTTTTTTTAATTATTTAAGTTAATAATTGTTATTCAATAAGTGTTTCATAAATATCTAAATATATATATATAGATATATATAGATATCATTATAATTATTATTATTTATTTATTTTGATGATACAAATAAACATCTATATATAATATAACACATGCTTTTGCATTTTTAATATATTATTTAATTTATAACATAATTAAAAAAATATATATATTTATATTTAAAATTAAAGTTAGTTATTATTTACATTATAATTTATTTATTTTTAATATATATATATATATATATTAGCTATTTATTTACCAAATGTTTTTAATTATTATTATTATTATTAAATAATATATCATTACTACTAAACTAAATAAATATTTTTTTTTAAAAAATATTATATATATATATATATTTAAAGCAATTTATATAATTAGCATCATTTCAAATAATCCCCCCATAAAAAAACTAATTGAAATTTTCCATTAAAATAAATAAATAAATATTTAAAATAATTTAATTAATTACCTCAATATATATATATAGTACAGTATATACCATTTATATGAGGTATCAATATTTATGTTTATGTGTCTCTTATCTTAAATATATATATATAAAACACATAAACAACAAAAAATGCTATGAATTTTATTACACGGATCTATATATATATATATATATTTATTTTTAATTGAAACAAACAAACAAATTAAATAAATACTAAAAACTAATAAAACAAATATATTTGTTGTTGTTGTTGTAAAAAATATTTAGTAAAAAATACTACTAACTAACTAATAATTTTAAATCTACTAAATATAACATTGAAATATATTGTATATATATATATATTATGCTACCTATATATGGGTCAAAATAAGAGAGAGAGAGAGAGAGAGAGAGAGAGAGAGAGAGAGAGAGAGAGAGAGAGAGAGAGAGAGAGAGAGAGAGAGAGAGAGAGAGAGAGAGATAATTAATAGTAGTAATGAATTTATATGAAAAAATAATTTTGTATTAATATAATAATTATTTTTTTAGTATATTTAACACAAAAAATTATATAAACATTATGTGTATTATTGATATTAAACTTAAAATTAAAAATTATTACACTATTATTATTATTATTATTATTAATTATACTAAATTACTGATTGTATTTTATTAACTTTATAGTTATTATTATTAGTAGTATTAATAGTAATAATCTCATTATAATTATAAGTTGTTTTATTTCAAATAAACAATAATTAAATTAAAAATAACATACAGTAATGTTTTTACTTATTGTTTATTATATTATATATAAGTTTAAAAAAATAGTAGTCATCATAAAATACTAACTATTATTATTATTATATTATTTAAAATATTAATAGCATTGAAATATTTAAAACTAAAAAACAAATTTTGTTTTGTTTTCATGAATAACAACTAAAAAAAATAAAAAAAATAAAAAAATAACTACTACTGTATATATATAACAATACAAAAAAAAATATTTTGAAAAATAAATAAAAAAATATCTTTTAACAATAGCAAGTAATTATTATTATTTTTATTATTATTATTATTATTAGATTTATGTTTTAAGTTATGAATATATATATATGATATTGTATTATATATTCAGTATATAATATTTAATTATAGTTATATATAATACAATATATATATATATATATATACTTAACAATAAAATTACATTTATATTTATAGTTAAAATATAATATAACACTATATATATATATATATAAACCGGTAAAATAATTGCTGTTTATTTGTTATATACAGTATATTAAATAAAATATATATCATATATATATATATACAGTATATTAATATAAATATGATTATTGTAATCATATCATTAAGATCATCACATAATACTTTATTTATTATTGTTATTATTATTATTATTATTATTATTATTATTATTAGTATCATATTTTCATCAGTTAGATAATAATAATAATACTATCATTATTATTACTACTACTAATATTACATAATAATAATAATATTTTGTTGTTATTGTGTATTTAATTTAATTAAATTCATAATATTTTCATCATAAACCTTCAAAACAATTTATACCAAACAAAAAAAAAGATAATACATATAAATAATAATAATAATAATTTTTTTGATTATATCTTTAGGTAGTCTAACGTATAATTATTATAATATAATACAATACGTTTAAATTACAAATACATATATATATATATATGTATTTGTAATTTAAATGTGAAACAAATTTTTTTGTTAAAAAAATTATTATATATAATAAAAATAATACTGTATATAATGTATATAGAAATATATGTATATATATATATATAACAAAATTATAACTTTAACTTAACAATTGATATAATATTCAATTGTCTAAAACATTATTAAACTATAATATAAATTTTTAAAAAATATGTGTTTTTTATGGGTATAATTATTAATTAATATTTTTATAAATTAAAAACAACATTAATCTGAAAATAAAAATATTATTAAATTATTAACTAAAAACTATTTTTACTAAAAACTATTTAATTAATAAAAAAAATCAAAAATATATTTAATATAAACATTTAGTTTAATAACAAAAATAAATAAATATTATGTCTGTCTGTATCTAATGGACTAAATTTATATATTAATTTTATTTTTAATATAAAAATATTATTATTATTATTAATGATAATAAACCTAAATAATTTTTACTAATATTTATAAATATACACAAAAATTTATAAATTAAAATAAAGTTTAAATAACTTTATTTATTTTTTTTTTTTGGTTGATCTTTATTTTTTTACTTATATTAATATATTGTTGTTATTATTATTAGTAAATTCAACAAAAAAATAAAATAAAATTTTTATATTAAACAAAACAACATTTTTTAAGGTTAATCGACTTTATATTCAATATATATTTTTTTAAATGCATTTATTAAATAATATAATAAAAGATTTTGTTATTATTATTATTATTATTATTTTGTAATAATATTTTTTTTTGTTATCCCTTTTTTTAGTTAACAATATTAATAGCAATAGTTATACTTAATATATAAAATTATAAAACAAAAAATAAATTTTGTTTTGAGATATAGAAAAAAATACTAATAATAATAATAACAACAAAATCATAAAATATTTATATATATATAAATATAATAAACTTTTTTTTATTGTTTATTAAAAAAAAAATTTCAGACAAATTAATTATACGCTCATGTCTTCAATAAGTAAACAAAAATTATAATAAAAAATAATAAATAATTTTTTTCAACAATTAGTTATAAATTATAAAATGTTTTTTAATAAAACTAATAGTTTTATTATTATTATTGAATGTATTAAATATTTATTTTAGTGTTTGTTTTTTTTATTAATATACAAAAAAAAATAATAGTAAATTTGATTTTATAATCAGATTTTTTTTTCTTAATAATTTTTTTTGTTAATATTTGCTTACAAAATGTTGGACTAAAAAACTATTAAATATTATAATATATTAATATAAAATATTTAATAATAATTAAAAAAAAATAAAGTACTACTACCCTAATAATTAATAATTTTCAACAACAACAACAACAACAAAAATCAAAAAATCAAAAATAAAATAAAATAATAATTTATATTTTATTTATAATTATTATATAATATATTTTTATCCTAAAAAATTTGTTTCCAATGCTTTTTAAATGTATTTTAACTACTAATTAATAATACATTTTTAAATAATAAAAATAATAATATAATATAATACAGATTATTGTTTTTGAAAAACTCTATAAATATTAAATTAAATTAAATACTAATAATTAAAAATTAAATATTATTTATTAATAATAATTATAAGTTTAAAATTTAAATAATATTGAATAACAAACAAAAAATATTTAGTATAGATTACAAAAATAAATAATAATTATAATTATTTTTTTAATTTAAAATTATATTAATATTATTATTATTATTATTATCAGATATTACTCGTATGTCTACTATTATGGTCGTCGACGACAACAAACATCGGCGGCGTCTACGGCATCGACGATGACGAGCCAATTGTTGGCCAACTGTCAGCCGAAGCTGACATCAAAAAACTATCGGCCAGCGACTCGCCGGTAGCCGAAAGTAAAGTTGTCTCATCGGCAGCTACGGGATCAGTAGCCGCCTCACAGGTCAACGACAATAATAAGGCCTCCGCGGCGGTAGCCGTCGGTAATGATGGCGACACATTGGAGACCTTACAGTCCCAGAACAGTAACGACTATAACTATATGGTGTCTCAATCGGCGCCTAACAGTCCCATCAATATCGATATGGGTTCGTACGACTCATTAGCTACAGGCGCTCAGTTAGGACTGTCCGCAGCCGCCGGCGATCTAACGCAAAGTCAGACAACATATGGCCAACAACTACAACACGGCGGCAACGGCGATGACGGCGAGTCCCATAGAGGTGGTGGTGGCGGTCCATCGTCAGCACCGGTAGTCTATCGGTACAGTAGTTCAGAAGATGGCGGCCAACAATTGCAACAACAGCCACACCAGCAGCAGCTCAGTTACATCAGACAAGAGCCGCCGCCGCCGCCAGAGTATCAGCCGTACGAACCGCACAAACAAAACAATGGTTTCCCGCGTATGACGACATCCTTTGAGTCAGATCGTGGATCAATGGATACCAAAGTTATTACACCGAAAGCACCGAACTATAGGGTACCAGAGCTACCGCAAGCAAAACCCGGTATCAGTACTACCTATAGTTCACCGGATGTTAAGATTGTGTCGCATACCCGCAGTTTTTTGCCGGTACTCTACAAGAAACCCGTGGCGGAGGCCGGCGGTGATGATGGCGGTAACGGTGGTGACGGCGGCGGCGGCGGTGGACAACAGGCCATGAATAGTGCCGAACAGGAATACGAAAAGGCCGTACAGGACAGGCCAGGCGGTAGTTATGGCGGCAGCGGCGGCGGTGATGCCGATGGCGGCTACGGTAATGATGATAATGACGACCGACAACAACATCAACAGAGACCCGACGGACAGTCAATAGTCAATAGTATCGGTTATGACAACAACAACAGTCCCTTCAATATCGACAATATTAGGGAATCGGAAATCGTTAGCCGCGGACCCTATTATAACATACATAAGCCGTTTGCCGCCCATATACAGGTGGTCGAGGATAAGGATGATTACCGACACGACCACAAAGATCAGGGATACGGTGGACAGTCGTCATCCTATGGACTCAGAACACAAGTAAATAATTATTTTATTTTATTTTATTTAATTAAATAATAATTAATTATTAAATCAATTTATTGATTTATATGATATTTACTGATTGATATCAATATAAAGTATATACAAAAATATACAATAATTTAATATATATTTAATAATTGAATTCAATATATATAAAAAAAATTGAATTTAATTTATATATAAAAATTGAATTTAATATATGTATAATAATTATATTTAATATATTTAAAAATTGAATTTATTATATATATAAAAATTGAATTAATATATATATATATATAATAATTAAATTTAATATATTTAAAAATTGAATTTATTATATATATATATAAATTGAATTTATTATATATATTTAATAATTGAATTTAAAATATTTAAAAATTGAATTTAATATATTCATATAAATTGAATTTATAGTCAATTTTTTTGTGTGACTTATTTATAACATAATGAAAACAATTAAAATAATTGCAAAATATTTTTATTTAAATTTTATTTAAATTTTTTTAGTTTGTTTTTTTTGTAATTAACTAAAATTTTTTCATATATAAACTAAACTTTATATATATATATATATAGTAGTTAATTATGCTATACCCCCACCCCCACCCCCTCACTGATTAGTACAATAAATGTCACAATACATTGAATTATATACATTAACACTTAATTATTATGACAGTTGTTAGTAATTTTTTTTAGCAAAAATATATAAAAAAGTCAAAACACTATTAGTCTATTAGTAATAATAATAATAATAATAATAATAATATCAATAGTTTTATTTTTCAGTGCAAATAATTGCAATCATTATAGGACTCATTGAATTCATAGACTAAAAACACTTAACTACAAAAAATAAAAACTATTTACTAGTATTTGATTCAATTAACCTTTAAATTTGTTGACTTGTATAGTACAGTATAAACACACACACACACACATATATATATATATATATAGACACATACACACACACACACACACACACATACATACATATATACACAAATACTTATAGACACACACATGCATACATATATACACACATACTTATAGACACACACATACTTATAGACACACACACACACACACACACACACACACACACACACACACACACACACACACACACACACACACACACACACACAAACACTKAGCCTTAACATTGAACTTAATAAATATTAGATAAAACTAAAAACAACAAAAAATAAGTTCAAATATATATATATATACAATAATATCGGAAACTATTTGATATTTCCAATGAAATATACTGTATATATATATATAAATAAAATACGATTACTAAGTAAAAAAAATATAATCATTATCACTATTTAGTCAATTTGTTTAATTTATTTAGTTATAAATTTATTATTAGGTTTAATTTTTTATTCAATACATTAAGTTACATCTAATTTAGTTTATTTTATTTATATTTTACATTATATCATATGCTTAAAACCTACATACAGTACATATCACTCACATACAGATAAATATTTTAAGCAAATTTTGTTATTAACATTAAATTTTTATTTATTTAGTTTTTGTTAGTTTTATATTTCTAGCAATTAATTTAATATATATATATACAGTATATCGTGAGTGACCTATCGTTTACTAACCTTTAAATATCTGCATACAGTATATACAGTATATCTTAACATTTAAAAATAAAAACATTTCAAATAAAAAACTAAATAAATAAATTGCAATTATATATATGAAATTACTAGGAATTTCAGATAAGTTAGAGAGAGAGAGAGAGAGAGAGAGAGAGAGAGAGAGAGAGAGAGAGAGAGAGAGAGAGAGAGATCTAATTTACTATTAAGTTGCATATTATCGACAATTATTATTATTACTGTTTGTTATTTTCATCAATTTATTTCATAAGCCCACACAACTGAGCCCAAGAGTCTGTATGTATGTATGTATGTATGTATGTTTGTGTATGTGTGTGTGTGTATGTTTGTGTATGTTTGTGTATGTGTGTGTATGTGTGTGTATGTGTGTGTATGTGTGTRTGTGTGTGTGTGTGTATGTGTGTGTATGTGTGTGTATGTGTGTGTATGTGTGTGTGTGTGTATGTATGTGTTTGTGTATATATATATATATAAATGTGTGTGAGTGTGTTTATATGTATATATATATATGTGTGTGTATGTATGTATGTAAGTGTGTGTATGTGTATGTTTTTATGTGTATGTAATTGTGTGTCTATGTATGTATGTGTGTGTGTGTATGTATGTGTGTGTATGTATGTGTGTGTATGTATGTGTCTATGTTTGTATGTATGTATATGTGTGTCTATGTATGTATGTGTGTGTGTGTTTCGGTTTCAGCCGTGGGCGCACAACATAACGGTGCGCCTGACCGCTCAAACTACCAGTGCTTTTTAAAAAACAAACAAATATAAAAAAAATCTTTTTTTTGAAAATATAGATATTTTTCTATAAAAAACTAATACAACAACTAATATACTGTTTATATAATACTTGAATACATAAAACTGCATAAGTTTTTAAAAGTAAAATATATGATATAATATGTATATATCTATCAAAATATATAATAGATTATTATTATTATTATTATTGTTATTGTAGTGAATATATCAGCAGATAATCTATAATTTCAATTAAATTTTTTCTTATTTATTATATATATATATATATATATATATATATATATATTGATGTGATATTGATAACACTTTTACACATATTTCACAATATATTTATTATTAGTTATAATAAAATAATGAGAAAATAAAATAAGAAAATAAATTTTTATTTTATATTATATTATCAATCGACTGATTATTATTATTATTATTGTCGTCAAGTTTTTTGTGTTATTGTTAGTATTATTATTATTATTATCTGAAAAAATAACATACAATACAATATTACATTAAATAAAAAGTGTAAATAATAACACAATAATATTGATAATACCATACAAGCTATACATACATATATATACAGTATTTTTTTATTTTAAAAATATATATATATATCAATCAATTGAATGAAATATATATATATATATACAAAATATCGTATATACTGTATATGAAAACATATAAATAAATTGACAACAAAACTAAATTCAATCACAAAATTTTTATTTATTTTTTTATATTTTATTTTGTTATCACATTTGAATGTGACTTATATTATAATACATATATTATATAACATAATAAAAATTGACAAATTTTTTTGTATTAGGTTTGTTAGGTGTAAACATATAAAGAGACTAATGTATAAATCAATAATAATAATAATAATAATAATAATGAGACAAATATGCTAAAAAAAACAATATTATTTTTATATCATTAATATCATTATAATGAAAAATATTTAATATAATTTATTATTAATATAAATATTTTATTTAAATAAAATAGTTTTTTGAGTTTATTTTGTTTTTTAATTATAATTTATAATATTTTTCAAATATTAACGATAACAATATTCCCACTGATATTAATGTTAATATAAAATATATATAAATAATAATAATAATAATTATTATTATTATTATTAAATATAATAAGGCATTACATAAATAAATAACTATTATATATAATCAATAGATAGAAATGTTATGCACTATTAAACACACTGTTAAACCAAACAAATAGTATATTAATAATAATAATAAAAACTTTTCAAAAATTATTAAAATATAATTTTATAATTATGTTTTGCAACTTTTACTTATTTTATTTATTATTATTATTATTATTATTATTATTTTATTTTAAAACAATAATTTCAATTATTAGTAACATTACAATGACATAGATTTGAAACTAAACAGTGAACTATGGCTTTTAAATAGATAGTTATAAATATATATWTATAAAGTGTTTTAATTTTATTTCAAATATTATATTTATTTATTTAATTTATTAATAATATATTATTAATAAATTTTTTTTGTAAAATATATATTTAACACAAAATATATTTATWTATTTTAAATATAGTAATAATTATTATAATAAATAAAACATTTCGCAATATTATATTTATTTATAAAAATAGCAAATAAACTCAAAATAATAATTATTTTCTAAACTAATTATTAGTTGATTTTAAATCATATTTTAAAACAACATTTTTGTTTGATATTATATATATATATATATATATATAAATAATATTTAAACATTTAATTTAATGCCAATCATTTAAATATAGTAATCATAATAATAATTATTAGTATTATTTACTAACATAATTATAATTAATAAATGCATAAAAATCAGATCAACAAAAAAAACAATTAATTAAAATTAAATATTATTATAAAATTCAAAAAAATAATTTTAATTGCAATTAAAAATATATAATATGTATAATTAAATCTATATATATATTTTTTTTAATAAAAAAATAGCCCCGACCACTTATGAAAAACTACCAGCCCAGCGGCTACCAGCCGGGTATGATAAGCGCCTACGATCCGCCATCGCCGCCACTATCGGCACTGTTACCATCGGGACCGGGACAGCCATACAAATCGGGTGGTCCGTCCGATAATGATAATGATGACGATGACAATGACAATGACAACGATGATAATGGACAACATCAACAACAACAGGAACAACAGGATAACTATGGAGGACAGGGAGGTCAGGGAGGACTACTACGGCTACCCGAACCACAGCCACTACAACAACAACAATCGCAGATACCGTACGCCAAACAGCAGACACCGTTCGGCGTTGAGGTCGAGTTTGACCAGAATATGAAAAACGAACCGCAAATAATCAGAGGACCCGGTATTGGCGGCGGACACCAACAACAACCGCAAGGCTATCTGCAAGGCCTCGGCGGCGGCAACAGTGGCGGTGGTGGACAAGACTATGACGGAAACAACAATCATTTGGGACCCAAATATAATGTCGGCGGCGGCGTCGGTGGCGATGATGACGATGACGACTCACCAACTAATGGACAGTCGGGCGACTATAGCGATAGACCACCGCAACCACACCAACCGCACGGCGACTTAGTTAAGCCACAGGCCATTCAGTACGGGTTTGTCCCGCTATCCGATGCCAAAGATATCTACGGCGGCGGCGGCAATGGTGGCCAACAACAACAACCATCAATGAGAGGACCGCCATCAAGACCGGGTTTTTGGAGAGGACCGCCCAGAGGACGGCCATCGTTCGGACCAAATGGTGGTCACCGAAGACCTCAGATGAACGGCGATACTATCGGTGCTATGTATGGCGGACTTCCTCCACATCAGCAATCCGAAGGACACAGAGGCGGCGGCTATGATGGTCAAGATATCTATCGTGAACCGGTTGGTCACGGCCCGGGCGGTCCATTTCAACGTAAGCCAATGTTTGATGTGAGGCCGTCGGGAGGTCCGCAGCAACAGTTTGATAGCTACGCCAACAATAACGGTGCCAAAGATGTTAGCAGCGATGAAAGTATGGGCGGCGGCGGCCTCGGCCTCGGCGATGACATGTCCGGCGAAGACGGCGGTCAACCAGACTATGGTAAGTGGTTGTCGTCAATAATAGTCAGCAGCGATAAGCATCGGCTCCGGCATCGGCATCGGCAGCCTATCTATAGATTCAGGAGAGAGTAGTAGTAGTAGTAGTAGTAGTAGTCATATAAGTAATAATAATAATACTAACGATTATGACAGTGAATCGGCTGCAGTGGCCGCTGTTGCTACCGATGCCGATACCGATGGCGGGGGCGGCGGTAGCGGTGCTGATGATGATAATAAGCTGCCCTACGAGTGCTATCCGTGGAACTGTAATCCATGGTTTTCCATACATCCCGATTCACCCTATAATTCTCTACCCTCTCCTAACCAACATATAGGTTCACCACAACAATCGGGTCCTACAATTGGTGGTCATCACCATCACCAACACCAGCACCAGCAGCATCACAGAGGAATGCCTCATCTGGCATCCGGTGGTCTACCGCCTGGCGCTTCCTATAATCCGCGCGATGTTGGCCTCGACGAATCGGTAGTAGCCCAGCTAAATCTGGCCGCTTCGTCACCCGCGGGCAGTGGTATTGCACCGCTGCCATCATCGCCCAGTGGCTATACTGGTGCCGCCGCTGCCGGTGGTTTGCGACCATTTGCCGCCAGTGGTTTCGCTGGTGACGGACCAGTAGTATCGGCTGCCGCTCCTGCAGGTATGCCACGTCCTGTCGGCGTCGGCGTCGGTGTCGGTGGTGGCGGTCGACGACCCTATTCGTCAAGTGGCCAAGGATTCAGGTCTCAGTACGGCTATCGGGCAGCGGCTGCTGCGGCTGCGGCCAGTGAACTGTCACCGGTAAGCGCACCGTCGGGTAGTGTCGGTAGTCCCGAGTCTCCTATGTTGTCAAATATTTTGAATCTGAATCCCGTTAAGAGCTTCCGATCCCTAATGTCTTATCTGACGGGAGGTATCAATGGTTAGACAGAGGGCCGGGTATTATATAACTAACTGTTTTTCTTTATATAAAAAATGTTTAATAAGTGTCACATCAAAAACAAAAAAAATTAAATAATTAAATAATAATTTTTTTTGCACAAAAAAAATATATTTTTCATATTAACACATGTGTGTGTAATCTAGTTGTTTGTTTTGAATTATTAATTAATTTTCAATTAATTAATTTTTAATTATTATTATTATTATTCTCATAAAATTTTTGTTTAGTTTTTTTTGTGCTAATAATTAATATTTTTTTTTTGTTTGATTTTGTATCATAAATATATATACTGTATATGTATCAGTGTATTGTATGTACTGTACGTGTATTTTATTTTTTTGGGGGGGATATTTTTGTTACTTTATATTGTTTTAAAAAAAATTGATAAATGGATTTATTATTAGTATTTTTTTGATATTATTATTATTATTATTACAAATTAATAATAATAATTTGTTATTGTATTTATTAAACAACTTATAATTTTATAATGAAATCTTTTAAAAAAAAAATTTATATATAAATTAATTAAAATAATAATAATAATAATAAGAGTATCGTTAAGTATAACTATATTATACTGTATATAAATATATAGTTTATACTAATATATAGCCCACTCGACAGCACAGTTACATGTATTATATAATAATTAATTAATTAATTAATTATTTTATTTTATTATATATTTTTTTATATATCTATATCTATAGAGTTTCTATCTATACTTAAAAAATTGTTTTAATCGTTTAAATCGTTTTTGTTGTTAATTGATTCAAATGAATACATTTTTATTTTATTTTATTTTTTTTAAAAAAATGAAAATTCAACAATTAATATACACATTGAAAAAAAAAATTATATATATTAACAAAAATACAATTAAGACAACACACAAACACACATAACAAAAATGATTAATTAACTGTAAATAACTTTTTTATTTTTTAAAAAAAATAATTATTAAATAATTGCCAGAAAATAATATTAATCTCTTTTTTTTTGTTGTTGTTTTAATTACTTTAAAGAAAACATGTTTTACTCCCCAAAAAAAAAATGTTTTTTTTTCTCAAAATTAATCATATTTTTTGTATTATAGTCTACCTCTAGCTCTCTGTCTCTCTCTCTCTCTCTCTCTCTCTCTCTCTCTCTCTCTTTCTCTGATAATATTATATATAATTAATTAACTAATGAAACATACCTTTATATATATATATATATATTACTAAAACACTTTAGTCGCTATAATTTCATTTACAATTCATTAGTATTTTAAACAATTAATAGATAATAATAATAAACAATAGATTTAGTTATTACTATATACTAACAAACAAACAAACAAAAATATTTTTAGCTTAATTTGTCATAAAAAATATCTACTAAATAATATATTAATAGTTTATATTAAAAAAAATATTAATTTCATAATTAATTAATTAACTACTAATTAATCATAAATTTTAATTTTTAATAATATTATAATTTGTTTTCAAAACTTATTTCAATAAATGCTTATTTAGTCTATATTTATATATATATCTCTATAATATTGTTATATTAATATTTTTTTAGAGGATATATCTTATTATTATTATTATTACTATTTAATAATAATAATTATTATAAAACTAATTGTTTCATATGAAACAAACAAAACTTTTTTTTGCTCATAACTTTGATATTTTGCTTATAATTTTTAAAATAATATATTTTTTTAACTAATATTAATCTAATTTAATATCTATTTATTTTCAATGATTAAAACAATAATTTTGTTTTTTTTCAATCAGCTATTGTATATTAAATTGATTTTTTTTATTTGTGGATATCTACTTAATTTTACATAAATTTTAGTTTTTTAAAAATAAATAATATATTAAAATACAAATATATTTTTTATATTTTTTTCTAAGCAATAAATAAAACTCAATTATATACAATAAAAATTAATTAATTAATTTTTCTTCAATAAAACAACAATATATTATAAAACATAAATTAAATAAGACATTAAAAAACAATTTTGTTTTTAAATATTAAATATATTTAATATATATATATATATATATACTGTATATATATATATATTTATATATAATTTTTTTGGTGCACTTATATGTTACTATATATTTCTGGTCTTATGTTTCATTTTTATTTTATTATTATTATTATTATTATAATTTTCATCATTCAAAACATTATTTAATACATAATAAACTTTTTTTTTTATATATATATAAGTATTATTAATGTATGTTATTGTCAACGAATTTATTATTATTATTATTAATAGTATTATAATTATTATTATTGTTATCATCAAAATTAATATAAAAATTTAATATATTATTTTAATAATAATAATAATTTTAATTTGTCATTTTATATTATAGTCTACTTTGTTAAAATAATATTATTTAAAATTAATAATAATAATAATAATAATAGTTGTTTTGTAAGTTATTTGTCAAAATGTCTTATTAAATATATAAAACATATATATATAATAATTGTATAAATTATTTTTGTCATATTTTTTTTGTCATACATTTATATATATTTTATTTGTAATTTTTGTTATATGTTATTATTATTATTATATGTATTAAGTATTAAATGTTATTATCAATTATGTTTAAAATAAATGTTTTATTTGTTATTATTATTATTTGTACGTACATTGTATTAGCACTTTAACTAAATGTAATTATATATATATAATTATATATTTGTTATGTTCATGTTATTCAAAAATGTTTGCCATTAAATGTTTTTTTTTGAGAAAAAAAATTGAATAAAATTAAATTTAAAAAATAAATAAATTTGATATAAAAATTTTATTTGCAAAAATATTTATTTATAATATTTAATTATTTATAGTTCAACTTAATATACAGTATATATATATTGTAATTACAATGAGTATTAATCAAATGATAAATTATTATTATTAAAATTAAAAAATTTTTAAAATATAATGTTATAATTTTGAAAGTTTTTACAATAATAATCGTAATAATAATAACAACAGCAAAATATTATACAAAAATAAAATGTTATATAAATATATTTTTTCAACAAAATAAAAATAAAGCAAAAAATTTTGAGCATTAAATATGAATTTATATATTTTTTTACAAAAATAATATATAATTTTGACTAAAAAAGCAAATACATTATATATATAGTATACTTTAAATATATTAATTAAAAAAAAAATAAAATAAAATAAAATATTTACAAAATTAATAAATTTATCAATAATTTTTGAGCAAATTTGATTGAACAACAATAATAATAATTAAATTAAATTTAAAAAAAAACAAAATAATAATTTAGATTTATATATAATTTTTTATACAAAAAAAAATTTTGTTTTGTTGTGTCCACAAAAAAATAGTAATAATAAAATCAAAAAATATAATTATGAGCTTATGTTTCATCTTTTAAAAAAATATTTATATATATATATTATATAATAATAATAATTTTAGTCTAATTTTTATAGGTTTTTAGTTTTGTTTTGTGTTTTAACCAATAAGTCCTTTACCGCCTGCGGCCGCCTTTCCGCCCTTGAAGGCGGCACCGGCGGCGCCTCCCTTTTTGAAACCGGCAGCTGCGCCGGCCTTACCTGCGGCTCCGGCCTTAGCACCGCCGGCTGCTGCGAAACCAGCCTTAGCTGCCTTTCCTCCTATAAAATAATAATAATAATAATATATTATAGATATATATATATATAATTTATATATAGACAGTAAATGCTAGTTATATTATAATTAGATTTTTGTATATAATATTCAAATATAAGATATATATATACTGTATATATATATAATAGGTTTAATTTTACAGTAATTAATACTCACTATTAATATTAAAAAATCTGATTTATATATATAGAGACAGTAAATACTAGTTATATTATAATTAGATTTTTGTATATAATATTCAAATATAAAAGATATATATATATATACTGTATGTATATAATAGGTTCAAATTTACAGTAATTAATACTCGCTATTAATAATAAAAAATCTGATTTATATATATATATAAATATAAATATAAAAGTTATGAAAATCATAGTAATAATAATAATAATAATAATAATTGTTAAATACTATACTGTTTTTATATATATATTAAAAAAAATTGTTTTTTTGTTAAGTAGTATTTAATTTATATTTAGTTTAATACTAAAAACTTATAGCATTTGTTATAGTGTTAGTTATAGTATAGCTAATTACAGTTAAAGTATAGTTAAAGTATAGCTATGTATAGGTAGGTATAGTTAAGTATAGCTAAAATACATACCCTTTTTAAAACCGGCTGCACCGGCGGCACCAAATTTACCGCCCTTTTTGGCTGCAGCACCGGCAGCACCGCCAGCAGCGAAAGCACCGCCAGCTTTGCCAAACTTGAATCCCTGGCTCATACCGAATGTTTTGACGGCACCAAACTTTTTGTTATAACCGGCACCACCAACCTTACCGAACGCCCCTTTTTTGAACCCTTTTTTGAATGCAGCCCCGGCAGCACCGGCAGCACCGGCTTTACCGCCTTTTTTGAAACCTGCAGCACCGGCTGCACCTCCAGCAGCGAACCCACCCTTTTTGCCACCTTTAGCACCGAAAGCAGCCGCTGCTTTGGCACCGGCCTTAGCACCGGCAGCACCGCCTTTGGCAAACTTGGCACCGGCAGCTGCAGCACCTGCCGCACCCTTGCCTGCACCGGCCGTTTCGGCTACGGCCAGGTCCTGGTCGGATGCTTCCGATTCGAGATCATCGTCCGAGTCCACTAACTGGTCGGCACGGGTGGCACTTACTAGCAATAGTCCAAAAACAGCCTGTCCTCAACCCAACCATACAATAGTATACATATATATATATATGTGATTCATAAATATGACAATAAAAATAAAACAAATTAATATAATAATAATCATTTAATACACTAATAATAATAATAATAATAATAATAATAACAATAATAATGTATTGTTTATATATCCCATACCAATAGCACAATGTTTTTCATATTTAATAATAATATTAGTTGTTTTAAGTTTTAAAAACACAAAATATTTTTAAGTTAATTCAAAAAATATGATATTTTTTTGTTGAACTGATAATGTTTTTTAAAATAGTCAATACACTTGCTTTTTATAGTCCCCTAAAAAAATTACTAAAACCAATATATTGTATATATATATATATATATATATATATACAGTATATTAAATGTTATCTTAAATTTTAATTGTGACAAATATTAGTATTATAAAAAAAGGTGCATTTATTTTTGTTGTTGTTGCAAAAAAATATTATTATTAGTTTCGGCTAATTAACCAAAAAATTTTATAATTTATTTATTTAATTTGGACTAACATTGAAACGGTATTTCTCTCTCTCTCTCTCTCTCTCTCTCTCTCTCTCTCTCTCTCTACATATACACACACATACATACACACACACATACATACACACACATACATACACATACACACACATACACACACATACATACACATACACACACATACATACACATACACACACACACACATACACACACATACACACACATACACACATACACACACATACACTGTATAAAACATAAATTGATATCTAATTTTACGGCTATTTATTTTTCAATGTATTTTAATTAATAAATTTTAATTTTTTTTATATATATCAGTGAACTTGAATTCTTAGTGTTCAACAAACCTGATATCCTATAGTTGTCCTCTAATTATGTTTTTTTTCAACTAATAATATATATATATTCATAACAATAATAACGATTATTATTAGTGATAAACCATTTAAAAGAGAGAGAGACAAATATTATTGTGATAAATAATATTTATTATAATTGATACCAAAATAATAATATTAATAATAATAAAATACTTGTATGTCTTTGTCTGGAAATTGTAGACAAAAAACAACAACAAAATTATTATTAGTAAAAAAATTGTTGTCTTTTTTTTGTGGGTAATATTCATATAAAACGGATGATAGATATATATACACTGTATTTACTGTACTGTAAATTAATATAATAATAATAATTACTTATTTAAGTGTTTTTTTTTGGATAAATAAATTAATTTATTTCCTAAATATTTTTATCGCATTTTTTATTATTATTATTATTATTATTATTGTTATCTATTAATAATATATTAAAATATACTGTAAATAGTTTAAAATATTTCTATTTTTTTTTTGATAACAATTTGTTATTTATTTTGTATATTGTTATGAATGGATGACTACTACTACTACTACTACTACTACTACTACTACTACTACTACAATAAGATTTATTTTTAGTGTAAAAAATGTGTAAAATTTTAATATATATCCTGTCATTAGTTAGTAAACTATAACTCATAAAAAATTACAAAAATTTTTTTTATGAATGAAATCTAATAATAATAATACCTAACAATAATTCATTAATAAAAAATTTTTATCTCAAAATAAACAAATATTAAATACATATTAATATTAATTGAATAAAATCAAAAAATAAAATAAAATAAAATAAAAACATTTAATATAAACTGTAATAATTTACATGTATTTACATAATAAATATAATATCTTTAATTATATATAAAAAAAATTAATTATGATTTTTTGGTTTAATTTTTTTTATTATAACCAATAATAGTGTAATTATTATTAAATTATAATTTTTTTTTATATATACATATGTTTTTAACTTTAAATACAAGGTTATACTATTTATATATATATATATATATATAAGTTATATATTTTTACAATTTAAAGTTCAATTACATTTAGAAATTTTCCAATCAATTTAAACCAACAAAAAAACTAAATAAATAAATGATTATTTACTGTAAATGTTTTATTTTAAATTACATAACATTTTATCGATTAGTATAATATCTTTTTAAAAAATACATTACATAATGTATTATTTAACACTTAATATTAATTTAAATATATATATTTTAAATCCTATTAATTTTTATTATTATTTATTTTTAAAAAAAACTATAGATATAAAAAACATTTAAAATTAAATTAAATTATAATATAAAATAAAAACATTAAAAAATGTAAAAGTAATATGACATTGATTTTTAATAATAAGTAAATAATATATATATATATATATATATATATATATATATATATATATTAGTAATAAAGTGATTTAAAAAAGATTTATTTTTTTTATAAAATATTTAAATATTACTTATAATATAATAATATAAGATATTTTAAATTATATTTCTATTAAAGTATTAAATAATAATAATAACAATAATAATAATAAAAAAATAGTTGGGGTTTAATAATATTTTTTTAAAAATATATATAAAATAAATTTTAAGTACATTATATATTTAATTGTAATACAAATATTATTATTTTTTATTATTATTTATTATTATTATTATTATTATTATTATTATTATTATTACTATTACTATTATTATTACTATTATTATTTTTATTATTACTAATATTATTATTATTATTATTAATTTGAACCGGATAGTCACTAGGATATTTATACAAATAATATTATATAAATAAATATATTATTTGAAAATTTGAAATGTTTATCATGTTGTTATTTTATTTTAATTATTTTTTTAATGTGAAAAAACACTTGTAAGTTAATAGGTTTTAGTTTTTTTAGTTTTTATTATTTTATAAAAAATAGATATAAAAAAATAGATATAAAAAAATTTTATGTCAATATCCTAGTTATAAATTTAATAAACAAATTGAATTTATTATTTTTTATTTTATTTTTAATGTTTATTGTTTGTTTGTTAAAGTATACTACAATTTATTTATATTAAATTTTATATATACTTTAATATGTTGTTAAAAATAAGCTTCAAAATAATTAAATAAATATCCTATTTATTTTTATAATATTTATTACATAATATATATATTAATAAATTTTAATACATTATATTTATTTAGACACAAAAAAATATTTATAATAAGTAATATATCTATATATATATATAAACATTAAGATTAATATATGATATCTAAATACAAATTATATTAACATTATATATATAATAATACTGTAAAATAAATATCATTATAACTTGAATTTGTTGTTTTTTAATACTAAATATATCCATAAAAAATAATACTTCAAAGTTATTATTAATTTTTTTCAAAGTTATCAGAGTGTTGTCTATATATTACTTATATTATACCTAAATAAATAAATAAATAAATGAATTATTATATATTGTAATTTTTTTTAATTAAATAAAATTTTATCGATATGTATAATATTTTTTTAATAATACATTACATAATGTATTATTTTACACATAATATTAGTTTAAATAAATATTTTAAATCATATTAATTTTATATTTATTTTTTATTAAAAAAAACTAGATATAAAAACCATTTAAAATTAAATTATATTATTAAATGAAAAATAAAAACTTATTAAAAAATACTGTAATAACTGTAAACTTTAATAATAATAAATAGATATATGTATTAAAAGATTTATTTTTTTATTAAATTTAAATATTACTTAAAAAATAATACTTTAAATTATTATAATAATTAGTAATTAAAATTATTAAATAATAATAATAAATAATAATAACAAAAATAATAATAATAATAATAAAACAATAGTTGGAGTTTAATAATATATATTTTATTAAAATATATATAAAATAGATTTAAAGTACATTAAGTATTTAATTGTAATACAAATAAATTATTATTAATAATAAATTATTATTAATAATATATTATTATTATTATTATCCTAGTTAATAAACAAATTGTTTTTAAAATTTTAGTTTTTTTTAAATATGTTTATTGTTTGTTGAATTGTATTCTAAAAATTTATTTATATTAATTTATATAGATACTTTAATATGTTGTTAAAAATAAACTTGAAAATTATTAAATAAATATCCTGTTTATTTTTTAATAATATTTATTACATAATATATATATATAATTTTTTAATAAAATTTAATATATTATCTTTATTTAGACATAAAAATATATTCATAATAAATAATATATATATATATAAATATTAAACTTTATATATATTAAATAAATACAAATTATATTAATATAATAAAAATACTAATAATATATTTAATCATAAAATAAATATCATTATAACTTGAAGTTGTTTTTATAATACTAAATATATCTGCAAAAATAACACTTCAAAGTTATCATCAAGTGTTGTCTATATATTTGATTTATATTAAAATTTATGGCTAAAAATCAACACTGAATTATTTGTAATAATAAAACATATTTTTACTTTATATTTTATTAATAGTTATCAAAATAATTATTGCGTGTAATATGCAAAAATTATAATTAATTTTCTAAATTAAATTGTGTAGGCATTTTATTTTATAATTATTTAGATATACATATATGTATGCATGTGTATATATATATATTTATATATAATAATTATAACCGTTATTTCTAATCATTTAGATTGAAATAATTTTTTTATATTTATTTTTTAGCATTTAGGTTTTATGTTATTTGCATAATATTAAATATCATTCAAATTTATATATATATAACATTTAATATTAGCCCCAAAAATAGCTAATTTTTTTATAATAAAAAATAAATAAATATTGTGTTCATGTGAGTTAGGCATATTAAATATTTATATTTATAGATAAATTATCAAGCTAATTTCTTGTATGTGTGCGTAGTTAATGTATGATATTTCAAGTGAAATACATATAATAGGTTAAATGTTAGCTTATTTTACTACTATTAATAATAATTAATTATATATATATAGATAGATATATTAGATTTATATTTAATTGTACCTGTATATGTTCCAGGTAAAATTAAATATAAATTTAATTATATATATATACATACATATAATATTTAGTGTATATATTGTAAGGAAAGTGGGGTTATTCCGGGTATATTTTTACTGTGAACACTCTATGAGTGTTCACTAACCCGGAATGTAAACCCTACTATTGCTTAAGACTAAGCCCTTACTGTGCCTT